AACTGGTGATTATGGTAATTCAAATATTAAATGTGATATATAAAACTATTAATCTCTTTAATCCAGAAACATGCGGATATGAGTGCGGTGATGAGACGTAGTAGTTAAGTACTTTGATGGTAGATTTGATTCATATTATAAGTATAAGGCTTTCTTCAATCAAGCACGGCCTTGAATGATGCTCATAAAATTCATTCCATGTTCATTCTAGCAAATGGATCACAAAAAGATATAGAATGTCACAAAAAACAGTCAGACATATTTGATTAATATGATAAATGCTAAAGGTTTGATCAAAATGCGTGTGCATTAACTGAGGTCTGTTGATCCATAACTGACTTCTTTAAATCGCCTAAGGAATACATTCCCAGCAAGTTCAACCGATGATCGTAATAGCTTCGATCGTTTGTTAACCTTAATGCGCTATGTAGTGGAATTATAGCTCGCGTTTGATGAAGATGTGCGACAGAATGAGCAAGGATAGTTATATAAGAAATGTACATTCGTCGTGCGCAATGGACCTAGCTTTCCGGATTGCCAATCTTATTAAACAACTGACCAATCTGAAGAGGTTCAGGAATACGCGCGCGTCTCACAGACCGACGTGTTGTGACGCACACAAACTCAGTTCCACTACAATTATGGACAAAAAATACGTCATCAAAAAGAATATAATTAAAAGATAAACATTATTGACATAGTTTGATGAATGCCAACTTACAGTACATATCTTTGTATAAATGAATTATTTGTTTCTCAAATTATATTTTTTATACTATTTTGGTGTAGAATACATAGTAAGCATTGCTTTAATTGTCTTTATTCGTTGAATATTAATTTTAAAACTGACAACCCGGGAGACGAAAATAAGAAGCAGCACACGTTTTTGTTTTGTTTGTAGTAACCATATTGACTTCAGTGGACAAGTACGAGAATAGCACATGTGTGAAGCTACGATATTGAGACTCAAAATGTAGAGGACGTTACCAAGCAACGGAACGCTCTCTCACACTCTGAACAAAGATCGGAGGGTATGGTTATTAAACTAAGACGTCATTCAATAAACAAGAATAACTTCTATATTTTAAAGTCGCCATATTAAAATTTCTAGAGGAACAGCCCTGTTTTCCATCGTCCACCAAGGATGATCTAACTCAGTGAAATGGTACATTTATTAAAAACAGTAACGATGTTAGGCAGTAAATGAGCCTATAATGTACGTACTAAAATACATTGTCAAGTTGATAATACAGGCCTCCTCCTTTCAAATAAAGACAATCTTTTTTCCTAGACTTTGATTATCGTATTTATTCGAATAAAACGCCCACTTTAAATAAAAGCCCTCCCTTGAATAAACGCCGCTTTCAGAGCCTCATTTGGAATAAACGCCTCCCTCAAATAATCGCCCTTGGGCGTTTAATTCTCCTCGAATAAACGCCCCTCTAAATGACTGTAAACAAAACTAATGGAAGCAAATCATTCTCAACACATTCTGTTAATGTTCTACTCCATTAGAATTAATTTTTTTCTAACCTGGTTGGGATCAATAATCACGCAATAACACATTTTGACTGTATTTATGTAAGTAGTTCCACATTTACCTTGAAATTGAGGAGTGTATATTTGAGTATAATACGTATCCATTTTACACCAGAAAAATAAACGCCTCCCTCGAATAAACGTACCCTGAAACCCTTCCCAACAATAAACGCCCCGGGGTGTTTGAATAAATACGGTAATTCTAATGTTAAGAGACCAAAGCTGCTAAGACCACTGCCTCGAGCTATCCCAGAGATAGTCTTTAATTGGAAGAATTTAAACAAATCTGTTTTAGATTTTAAGTTTATTTTCTAATCTGTGCCCTGTATATCGAACTTCATGTTACTGTAGTGAATATTATAAGGAAGTAATTTGTGCGTCCGTCGAAACCCATTTTTCGATTAAACATAAATCGAATCAAAATTGCTGAAGTTCTTGGATTACATGACTGGTAATAATGCGATGATGTAAGTTGTACAACGGTTATGGTTATCTATCGAGCTATTAAGAATGTTTGCCTTGCGTTGTTCTAGATACGTCTGCGAGGATTGTGCTGTCATTTCATGCGTAGGCCAGTCTATGCTAGCAATGGCGCTAAAGTACGAACGTTGGCCGACGACTCCAGTATGCGCTTGACGAAGCGACGACGTCTGTGATTGTCGGTAGTGTCTGAGCGCATCGTCATTAAACACGATTCGTTGTGCGCACCTAGTCACGTTGTTGCACCCTCCGTGGAATTCGCGAACTCTCGGCGAAATAGGGAAGTTTCGCAAGCTTACGATAAACGAATACGGTTACGTCATCAAATGTTTAGTCAATCCATCCCGTATACAGTAGCATATCCCTCACAACGTAGGCCATTCATGCATTTTACATGAATCAGCGATCACATTTAACTCGTATAGGCCCTATGTATTGTGAAGATTCTTTTAGGCACAAATGACGATATTGAAGATGACGTAGGCCTATTTACTATCAAGATCAAGCACACCACACACTCTAACAAAATAACAAGAATCGAATGTCTCTGTTGTATACCGGTACAGTTCCAAAAAACGTACGCTATTTTGAGATCTGTTGTAGGCCTAGTGAAGGTGAACTGGGCACCTCGAGACAAAATGTACGCCAATGTACAAACATATGCGTACATGTTGTTCGAACTAAGCGTTTGTTCACACTGGGGCTACGGTTTTCCTTACATGAGGATAGACGCCGTTGAACAAACGCAAGCAACACTATGGCTTGGTTCACATTAGGGTACACGCTGTTGTCTTAACGCAAGCAACGCTACGACTTGATTCACACTTGGATAAACGCCGTTGAACAAAACGCAAGCAACGCTATGGCTTGGTTCACACTAGGGTAGATGCCGTTGACCAAACGCAAGTAACGCTACGTCTTTGATTCACTCTATGTTAGACTTATACGTCGAGTACCATTACCTGCGTTTGCGTGAAACGCATCTAAGCAAACCAAGCAGACAAACGTGTAGCAAGACCTCTGTATAGGCTCGCATTATGTTGTTCTCTAGTCTAGACAAAACATAGGAGCGTGGAGGGCTGTCTCTTATACACATCTAGATGTGTATAAGAGACAGACACTGGCGTTTGCAAAAAATGTACTCGCGCAGCAGAGTGGTGAGTTATTGATTGACACTCGTATAATGCATGATGGTAAGCTATCTACTAACTACAAGGATATTAATTCCAATTAATTTGCTAACAGGTTTTCAGGATTATGTGAAGCGTATAGTAGACCTGCGCATCCCATTGCGCATAGTGTAACAGACCAACGAATTGCAATATGTCATAGAGGCCTATGTATCTTATTGCGTACTGTAATGGGCCTGCACATTTCGTTACCTAGGCCTGCGTATCTCGTAGTAGGCTTACTTTTCTAAATGCTGAAGGTAGTATATATAACTATTATGGGTTACCATACCTCGGTACATATACAGCAGACTAGCTATATAACGCATCTCGAAATGTCGGTCATGAGAGGTTGTGTGTCATTGTGTATTTCCCCTAACTATACTAAAATCCAAATAGTAAGATGCATAGCACATGTTTTAATGCCTCTTATAGGTTATAATTCCTTTTGGGACGCTGTATAACCCCACCCACTTTTGGTGTCTTCATCAGTTAGATTCCTTGTGCCCGTGAATATGAAAATATTAGGCTATAGAATGCCATTTTACGAAGCGTATCAGTAATCTAAATTGTGAGTGTTATCATAATAGACATTTCCGCTAAGCCCCGCCCCATGGATATTGTTGCTAAGGTCCCACCGAACGATAGCGTAAACGTACGCAAACCCATGCGTTTGTGGGCGTAAACGTACGCGTTTGTGGGACACGCCCTTTACTTTTTATCACTAGCCACTCGGCTCACCGTTATTACGTTTTGCTCAGTGTACTTTCTTTACGGAAAGCAACGAACGTAGGAAAATGAAGTCAATGTGAGACCATTATTTATAGGTTTCAAATGAACATCAATTTTTTAATCGCCACATTACCACGCCCTCTACCGTCACAACCATTACTGCCACTCCTGGTCTAATCCTACGTACTGTACTACATTTTACGATAGAACATAGAAAATGAAATCGCTATAAGACACATTATTTATGGGATCCAAATGAACACAAATGTTTCTAGGCCTTTCATGAACATAAGAATGCTGTCTGCATTACTCATAATTCTTAAACTCACCCTCAATTTCGCATACTTAGCCCACTTAAGTGTGACCTCTTAAATCACCTACCGATGTATTTTTAGCCGAGTGCTCGCGCAACCCATATCGGATATAATGATCATCTGTTCATCTTTCATCGAAAAAAATTCCCAATAGCGTGCTACAATTAAATAAGTGGCCGTAAAATAACTAATTTTGTGGTACCACAATTAGAAAAGATAAGCTGGGCACTGGAGCGTGACGTATTGACCACGGAAACGAATATTAGACTAGGTGATGATAGATGTCATTCATTCATTCGCATTTCATCAAATCAAAAGCGGTGTGAGCTCCAAGCCGAGTAATTTCTGCTGGACCCATACGTGGCCGACAAATGCTTGTTTATTTTTAATGCCTTTTCTCCGGTAATAATGAATGCCTCACCAGCCAAATGAGGTAGGACAATCGGACAACTTATTTTTTAAAAGAGCCGATAGGCTGAGATTTTGCAGCAGGACTGGTTCCTCAATCATGGGTGCGCAGTTCTGGTGGACGAGCACTTAATGAGGTGGCGAGGGGAGGGCTGGTGTCAAGGTGTCTTTGAAGTTCAAACGTGAGGTGTCGAAATCCGATTAATTATTTCAAGTGAACCATGAACGGAAAGAAACTCTCCTCCTAATAGATACACAGATATATCAATTTCTTGTCATAAGCCAACTGTACAAATAGCGTACTGTCAGTCTCAAGCAGAGAGTTTGTATTAATGTGAGCGAACAATTGTCATTACAGAGGTTTCTAGAGAGGAGCACTGTTGCACATCCACGCACTTCACGCCAGAGCTACTCGGTATTCAGCGCCTAGAACTGAAGCGTTCGAATTGTTTCAATTTCACACACGCGACTTAACAACTCGGTAAAGGTAAGAATACAATTATTTTTTTATTTATAAGGAAGAGTAAAAAATCAAATAAAAATGAACTATTCTACTTTAAAAAAAAATCGGTTACTATACAAATCCAATCGTAGACAAACTGTGAATAAAACATACGCCTAATACATTGGAATGTTGAAAGGTATATACAAAAGTCAATATCGATATGCGCATTATCACTTAACCGCGGTTAATCAGCTGTAGCCTGTCATGTTTTTTGGGGACCAGGGGTCATTGGTATGTCAGGCATGGGGATAAGCCTGGGGTAACCCCGTCCCAAAAAATATAAACGGGTGTTTGTAACACCAGTATTAGTTTTAATCAAATTTAGTTTTATGTACGGTACCTCTTATTTTTAACAAAAGAAAAAAAGAAAAAGAAATATTCTTGCCGGTTTTTCGCCATAAAATGACTGATTATCTTAATGGCCTATTCTATTTTTTTCCATATAGTTAAACCCTAACTTGGGACATCCCTAATAAAGGAACACTTATCTGGTCACGGATCGAGGGGAAACACACGGCTAACCCCTACTCAGGGGACATCCCTATAAGGGGATACAGTTTTGTCTCGAAGAAGTCCCCTTAGTAGTTATCGGTAGACCTATTTTTGTATAGGTCTTTGACTGAGAAACAAAACTCAGGGAAATAAAATAAGGATCATATATCAATTTCTGTTAATATCCAGATAATTTTCTTATATTATAATTACAATTTTTTATTCATTTTTTTAATGACAATGTGTGTGATATGTAAAATTTATAGCACCATTTGGTATAAATTTGTATCACGTACAATACACCAATATTCTCTTATAATCGCAGTAAAAACATCGCTTTAACAATATAGCTTTACCTTGGAGTAACAGCAAATAAAAATGTAAACTAATATATTGATGCTTTATTTAACCGATAGTTGGTGTATATATATATATATATATATATATATATATATATATATATATATATATATATATATATATATCTATATATATATAGGCTATATATAATATCAAGGTGTATACACGGCGTAACGTACGAGTCGTGTTTAACGCAGTGAAAATAATATCGAAGCGTCTGTTAAACTTATAGAAGTGCGCAGTGAACCAACCATGGATCCCTGGTTCAATTTTATTGCTACTCTTCTTGTGTTATCTCTGCTCACATTATCAAGATTTTTTTTTTTTGTCACAAACATGAATTGTTCGTATTATGCGTGTGATGTTATTTATTCATCATCACACGCTTATGGGTGTGATATGGCATCGTGTGCCACATGAAGTCTGATAGTATGAACAGAACTTGCCAGAGAGCCAGAGAGCTGATAAGACATAAGTTTACTCTAGTGCACCATCTTAAGCAGAAGCCGAGCATACACTGCGATGAACGCCGGTCGTACGGCTGACGAATGTACCTCCGTTCGATGTGAGCCCCTGATGGAGCAGATTGTCATTAAAAACGATCAGTTGCGTGCTCCTCGTCGTGTTGCTCCATGGTATCGCGTCGGCTGACGACCGTGGTGCAGTGTGTGCCCGGTCACTGCGCCCGACGGTCCGTCTGCCGACGCGATTTTATAAAGAACGCAGCGCCACGATGCGCGCGTAACAGATCGTTTTTAATGACGATCCGTTCAGACTGCAACCGACCCAGACGATGTCGCGTCGTCTGTCGCTCACAGGGAGTGAAGTTGGATTCGAGCTTTAAAGTATATCTCAGTTGGATTCGTGTCGTACGACCGCCGTACCACGCATATACACACGCAGACTCTTGGAGGATTGTCCCATGATGTAGGCTATACTATTGTAACTCCACTACAGTTACACCCTCATAAAGTATATCTGAATAAAGTCTGTACTGATAAATAAAGAACAGTCAAAACGTGTACGAAGCATAACGAGACGAAGAAGAAGGGTTGGAACGCGGAAGACGCATAACGAGACGAAATGCCTATTGCCGCGGGAAACTACAACATAAATGCGCCATGAACTTAAGGTTTAATCAATGCAATAAAGTGTATGTTTAATACGATATTGAATTATTCGCGTTCACAAGGTCGTCTTATCTCTAGTTTTCTTATTCCTTATATTAAAAAAAAAACTTAATGTGTGATCAGTTTAAATGCCAAGTTGTCAGCTTTGCTAAATTTCTTTTACATATTATCACCGGATTAATGGAAATGTGTAAGAAGTAACTGATCATTAATTATCACTAGTGTTGGTGCGAAGCTACTAATACGTTTTATATTTAATCATCCATGTTTGAATGCTAATTTATGAATTCTTCATGTTCATGATGTCGGTGAAATGTGTTTAATATTTTGTTAATAACGGTCTATCCGCTATGAATGCGCATGTAAAAACAAATGCAAAGTAAGCGAAATTGTATGTAGATTAGTGACGAAATGACGTAGTTTATTAGCATAGTTGGCTCTGGGTTGGCATGATTAATCAAATTAATGAAAGGTACAGTGTCTATATCGGACCTCATAGTACTGATCACGGCCAGTGCGTTTTGTAGAACGTACCCGAGGGCACTGCCGGCGGTGTACGCTAGCAAAATCAGCCCGCTATACTCGTAGGCGCGATTCTCCTTGACTTTTTTTGCATACATAATAGTAGTATACTGCTATGTTTACTGTGTTACTACTGTGTGCTTAGTCCAGATCGTTGGCCCTGCGTCATGTTCTGTCTAAAATCTTGACCGTTGGCAACGCGGAATTGTTTTGCCCGCTCGAGAAGTTGGTGGACGAGGATCGAACGCGTCGTCGTCGCCTGCGGGCAAAAGTGTACTACCCGTGATCGGTAATTGTAGGGCTATATTAATATTCAACAACAGTTTGGAGAATCCTAGCATATTGTTTTACTTACTTCTACTCTTTACATTGTAAAACGCAGGATTCAGGCATATATAAAGCGTACAATATACACTGTGTGAAACAGTCTACATTGCATTGTCTTAAGACTTACGCGCACACGGCACTACATTACATTGCTAGTGGTCTTGCGGCAATTTATAAGAGATGAGCGAGTAAGAACAGTGTCTTTTATTTGTAATGAATCTGCCTGTAAGAAAAGTCGTAATATCAGTCGTAATGTCATATCTTGTGTACAGTTGTTACTGACGAGGGAAATCATCGATGCCCACTGACACTTTCGACGTACACCTAGGGTAATATTTAGCACACAACATGCTTGGCAATTTGCAAACGTCAAATATCATCTGAAATAAAACAACTAATTTGGGCTGTGTGTGCTTTTTCTTCGGACATCATGATGTCTCTGAGGTCAGGCTGATATGTGTCATGTCAGGAGCGCATGAGTGTTGTGCCTGTGCGCTGCACGTGTAATCAATTTGATGTGTGATGCGTTGTTTCGTTGAGTACAGAAACTGTGTACAGATTGTGCAGACATGCGTTACACGCTCGCGGCACGCGTTTACAAGCGATATGTTATTCAGATTTATTCATTGATACTGACAGAAGATCAGATAAGTCGTTGAAATCTAGCCTACCGGCGCTGAATGCACTGCTTATGGAATCACTATGAAATACTGTCTAACTCAACCCATATTGCAAACTACGGAGAAGTACGCATTTCGTCCGTCAGTGGACAGTGCCTTTACTGTTATTGTATGGAATAATATTTCGTGGTAATCGTTAATATGACAGTCATAACATAGCTTAAAATATTTATCCCGTTCTATATACCGAAAACAACAACCATTAAGCAATAGTTCTCGCTGTAATATTTGACACATATTGCGTAATATAATATAAATTATATATATATATGTATATGTATATATATTATCTATAATGTATATAATATAATTAAAAAAACAATACAATAGGCGATTGAAGATTTTTCAGTGTATATATATATATATATATATATATATATATATAGGCCTATATAAAGGCCTATATATAATATAAATTAAAATGTAGTCCATAAAAATAATACGGTACATTAGGCGATTTAATTTTTTTCACTATATTTAAAATTTATACGAATATTTGGGGAGCACATGAGGCAGTAGGCTGTAGAAGAGAACAGGCGCTTCAGAAATATTCGTATATAGTAATTAATTTTATATTATGAAAAAATTTAAAAAAAACCTCATTGCCTATTGTATTATATTTTATCGACTACGTTTACCACGTGTTCACCTAGATATACATGCATCTACTTACTACGTCAGCCACAACCGAGCCCTAGCATAGATCCGTCATTCTTCATACAGGTTGCTAGCTTATTAGAATCCTCCATGGTAGGCCTTTATTAATATATTTGTTAATTTGTGTCTGCTCTATTCACCATATGTTGGCTCCCAGAGAATAATCTGGCTGGCATGAAGCTCAGGGTGCTGGTGGCAGTGTCTGGCAAGCATAACCCGCATGTATGCAATTTTGTCCCCAAACTTGGTTAGGTCCCCATAAATAATGTTGATGCTAACTCCATCTTGCCAAAATGATGTTAAGAGAAGCTCGTATCTGTCGAGTATATACACACCAATGAGAGACTTCCCCAGGGCTGGTGTTTATGTCCAAGATTCTTTCACATTCGTATATTAGAACAAATTCCATAGTAATGAGAAAAACTTAGCTTCTTTGATTGTCGGGCTATCTTAGATTTCCACACGATTTTAATCTTGTTGAACGCTGCCCTGGTAGAGTTCACCCACGACCCAACGTATCTGAAATCATCTACCTCCTTTAGAGCCTTCTATTTTAGAAATAGGGACACGGTCAGGTAAGTTGTATTTTCCTTGCATTACATACTAGTCCTACTAACTAGGGCATTCAATTTATACCCGGGTGAATACGTGCACCGGTAATATATATATATATATATATATACTGATAAATAGTTGACAACAGATCTAGAACAATGCACAATGTACGTGGGCGCCAAGTGGCCATACAATAGACTTAACGCACTCGTATATTATAGATGCGGTTCATTATTATTTATCTTCATTTAATTATATA